GGAACAGGCTGCTTATTAAAACATCGGTACAGGTCACTTAGCACTCCTGTCCAAGGAACACGAAGCAAGAATTAAATAACTGTCTTGCTGAAAGAACATGCTAAAATTGGATAGGGCTTGCAGCCTCAGGATAATGGGAAATTGTATAAATTAAATTTCCTGGTTTTCCCTATGATACATTGGAATGTAAATGTAACATGTACACACACACACACACACACACACACACACACACACCATTTTATCACATTACAAGTTCCCCTTAAGGCTTTCTTCAATGGGCTGTGAAAGTTTCTGCTGGCCTCGCATGTATGCTGCTCCGCACAAAGGTTGTGCCTTTAATTTTCAAGTCCATTTCCACAACTTTTCATCCTGAGCACGAGAAGCCTCCTGCTACTGCTGGACTGTAATTATATTTCTCTGTGCGGTGAAACTTTGTTGAAAACCCTTCTTTTACTTAAAAACCACCACAGGAAAACTCCAAACCTGAATTTTCATGAAAGTAATCACCCAGTTTCTCTTGCTTGCTATGACTGCATTGCTGTAATTTTTTAAAAAGATTTATTTTTATTAATTTTTGAAATATTTGTTTTACTTATGTTTATGCATGTTTACCTGCATGCATGCACATCACATGGTTGCCTGGTGCCTGTGTAGGTCAGAAGAAGGCATTGGATCTCCTGGAACTGGAGTGATAGATGCTTGTGAGCCACCATGTGGGTGCTGAGACCTGAAGCCAGATCCTCTGCAAGAGCAGCAAGTACTGTTTTCTGTGCATAGGACTGAGAGAAAGGAAGAGAAGCTGGGTGTCTTCCTCACTCTCCACCTTGCTTGTTGAGACAGAGTGGCTCACTCACTGATCTGGCTGGCCAGAAAGCTCCACAGAGGTGCTTGTTTCCATCTTCTCCCTCACTGAACTGAAACGGAACACATGTGCCATTATACATGGCTTTTTACAGCAGTGCAAGGGATCTCAGCTCTGCTCCTCACCCCTGGGTGCCAAGCACTTTACTGCCTGAGCCACCTCCCTGCCTCCTGTGTCTGACTTTTATCATAGGTACGTCCTTGAGAGGATGGATGGCCATTTTTGTTCAGTTTTAAAGGCAGATCGTTCTGTTCAATAGGATCAGTCTCAAATTTTAAGTGTTTCCCTAACATATAATTATCATCTACCAGAGGCCCAAAAGTACTGTCAGTGTGACTGAAATCAGAATGTAAATATTTTATCAACAGCTGTCAAATCTCAATTGGCAGCAAATAGAAAGCCCCTGAATTGCTATCATCTAGGCAGGAGGCTACAGCACTTAATTGACAGATCAGACATTCTTCTGGTTTCCATGTTCCTGTCAGCATCTGCAATGTATTTACATGGTGTGATACTCTATACAGTCACTGTGACAATCAGCACGAAGAGCAAATAATTTGCTGTGTTCTCTGGAGACACCCAGCACAGGGTGGCTGCCTGACTTTCAGTATGTTGCTTCAACTCATGGTATCTATGGTGTCTGCTCCTGACATAGACTGAATACTGGCATTAATGGATTATTATTACATCCATAAACAGATAAGGGTTTGTCATTAACAGTTCAAGAACTCAATGTTTTACCTTTTGAGTCTGTTCAACCAACTTTCTGATTGTGAATGTGCTTGGTTTAGCCAAAAAAAATTCTGTGCACACACATAGAAATTACCTTTCTCCCTCATTGTAGATCAAAGAGACCACAGAATTGAGATTTCTCAGGAGGTCTTTCCAAACAACTTCTGCTTGTACCACTGTCGTCCCTCTGTCCCTTCTTTTATTATTGCCCCCTAGGATATTTTCCATTCTTAACCACTGAAGCAGCAGACTTATTGGAGCACTCTATAAGCAGTGATTAAGTTCTTTGAGAGCACCTAAGTCTACTCTATTTTCTGACTCTACAGCCATACCTTTAATAAATATAAGTCTCCAGTAGGGAAGGGTGTGCTTTAGGGAATGAGGATAACAGATGAAGGAGAAACAACATATTATAAATAACTGTGACCCAATTACATCTATCTTGCCCTTAAGCTATATCAGCATTTGCTAAAAAGAGGATATAGTCTAATATGCTTTTAAAAATGAAACTTTTTCAGTTTTAAATGGAATAGAACATGGGTTCCAAGGACAGGTCAGGGAGAGGGAGAGGGAGAGGGAGAGGGAGAGGGAGAGGGAGAGAGAGAGGGAGAGGGAGAGAGAGAGAGACTAGGGAAGAGGGAATGAATGGAAGTGCCAAATGCCAAATGGTGTGACGTGTTAGCAGGCTGTGCCAGGAAAGCAAAGGGAGAAAACAATGAGACACATTCAAGAAAAGAAAAAAAAGAGTGAAGTCAGAGATTAGGAAGTAGAAGGGAACAAGAACAAGTGAACCAGATCCCATCAGAGGCGCTAACTCATGGCAGTGCACTGGGGCTCACTGCGCATGCATGGGAAAGAACAGGTGGGTTCAAGCAGATCTTATTGGGTCTCCCAGAGTAGACTTTGATGAGTGTCCAATATGTTTCTGTGTAGCCAGCAGGAAAGTCAAGTGACCATCAGGAAGCTAATGCCCTCGTCTGAGAGACAGAGGAATATGGCAAAAGATACCAGAGACCCAGAATGCATTTGGAGTGAAGGAAAAAGGGAGGAGCTGATAACTCAAGGATCCCAGGCCAGAAGGAGACACTTGGTCTTCCCTAAATATTAGAGAAAACACAAGGAGGTGAGGGAAAATTTTGTGTGATGAGCCTGAAAGAACACCTTTACACTCTCCACTTACAAACAAAGAGCGGAGATCTGGAAAGGTGAAATGACTTTTAAAAACTATACAGAGGACATGGGCTGTCACCTACAAGCTTGTTTTCTTCATTTCCAGCTCAGGCATTTTCCCCATTATTCAGCTCCCCCCTCCCCGGATGCAGCTCAGGGCCTTCCTCAGCACCTGGAATGATTTTTTTTCTTGGAAAGAAATTTCATTACATAACTAAGTTTCTATCTACATTATTTATTTTCTGGAACCAAATAAACATGATTAAAGATAATGTTTGCATGAAGAAGAGTATTTGAGGTTAATATCATAGGATAAAATATGGATTCTGGTGGCCATATATAGACCACATCTTCGAAACATTTATTTCAGAAATACAAAATACAATAGAAGATGCTAGAAATTAGTACTGAGTTTATTGCATTCCCCAGGATTCATAGGCAACTCCAATGTATCTCCGTTATCCCAGACCTGACGTTTTTGTGCATATATTTTCCTTTTTCTCTCAGAAAGGAATAGATACACTTGGTTTACTTAATTTGATAAGTAAAATAATCTAATGGAAACCTCACGAATTCACAAAGTATTTCTTAGCTGATCAGGCTCAATTAATAGCTTTAAAAATGTAACCATCAACAGCCCAGGCTCCTGGCACCACACTGCCAAGATTAGGACTGAATCAGGTACAACATGTAGAAGAAGGTCAACCAATAGCCCAAGAATAAAAGTCATGAATGCCACTGATTGGACAAAGTTATTAATATCTTAGAGCTGTTTCATCATCTGCAAAATTCAGATAAAGAAAGTACACAACCTATCATACTGCTTTCAAGACTAAGTCAAGTGTGGACAGATGTTGAGCATAAAGACCCAGTGTGAAGGCTCTGAATCAGCTTGGTCCTCAACTGGATCTGAGTGTCAGATGACCCAATAAGCTCTGCCAAGTCAGTGCATGAATGTGCATATGTATGAGTGTACAAGTGTGTGTGTGTGTGTGTGTGTGTGTGTGTGTGTGTGTGTGTGCGTGTCCATTGTCTCTTCAGGGCTTACACTCACTTTCTCTTTCTGTTCCTCTGTTCCTGACCCCTGTGGCTGTTCTGTATCTGTCTTTGAGATCGAAATATGAGGCTATGCCTCTCCATTAGGACTCTGAGACAGAAGCAAAGGAAAACATTTCAAAATCAGTCCTTCCTAAGGAAACTTAGGAATATTATCTAGAGTCCATTGGCTAGAACTGGGTCAAATAGCTAGAGCAAAGTGTGCTGGGGAGATGGGAAGGGATGCTGTTCTATTTTTCCTTGGAGACAAGATTTCATGTGGCAGCCTGTCTGTCCTGAAACTCATGAAGCCTAGACTGGCTTCAAGTTCATGGCAATCTTCCTGCCTCAGTTTCCTGAGTACCAGAGTTATAGCTATGAGTCACCATGCCCATTATAATGTGAACTTTTTAGTTGAAGTGTTATTCTGTCCTTCACAGCATCAAGGTTTTGCCAGGATGGAAGAATGCATTTGTGTAGCATAGTAACAATGTTTGCTGGATAGAAAAAATTGTCAGCAGTAACATGGAAAGAAAATTATGCTGTCTCATATCTTGCTCTTTCTTTATTCTCACAATCTGAATTTGGATCACTTGAACAAAAACAATATAAATCAAAGGACAGTTCTTAAGCCTAGCAGATTTGTAGAAGCAGGCCACCTCCCCAGAAGCTATTCAAGAACATGTATGTACAGTGATCTGTTTGTACAAACTAAGACATGTGCTGGTAACTCAAATATTCTGCATTATGATATTGTTGAGGTAAATTATCATTTATCTATCTATCTATCTATCTATCTATCGTCTATCACTCAATCATCTATCATCTTTTTACCATCTCTATACACACATATACATTCATATTTAAAATAAAGTCAGCTTGGTTCAATTTCAGTTAGCATGTCTTTACTTTAAATTTGAATCAGATGAGTAAACGACACAGTGTTATATCTACTAAGACACAATTGAGCATGTCTGTATAGTCATATGGAGATGCACACAGTCTGGGAATAAATGTGGACAAATTGTAATGACATGTATGTCCAAAGATGCCATGGTGAAATCCATTATCTTGAAGGGGAAGAGGTGATACATGCAGCAGAAACCAAGTCATAATTTATATTTATCACTGGTCAGTTCTTATAGATCAAGCCATCAATTCCCCTTTCAAGCAAGGAGTCAACTAGAAAAACACTTACCTTACTGTACCTTTGCTGAAGTTCGGAATGTCACGTGCTTGGCCACTAGTCAGAATGCAGCACTAGAAAACAACAAAATGTGGTTAACAAGTAAACAAGACCATGGGGAGAGAGAGGACAACAGTTAAGAGAACATGATTTGAAGCAACATAAAAGAGTTATAGACTTTCGTATTGGAAGTGAATCCATTGGTCCCAAGGCTGAACTTTCATGTTACCAGCAATGAGGGCACAGTAATTCAGAAAAGCTAAGTTATCTGTCACTAGGGGCTGGGACTCACTAAGTAGAGTCCTGCCATACAAGTAAAAGCCTGGCATGGTGGTGCACATCTGTAATTCAAGAACATGGAAGGTGGAAACACAGGAGGAGTCCCAGGGTTACAGACAAGTAGGAAAAGATATTTAAAAGGGGGTGGTGGTGGATGGGAAGAACTGAACACAGCTGGCTCTTGTTTCTGTAGCTTCACTCCTTAAGACTCCCTAAGTGCAGGCTGACAAAGAGGGTCATTGAGGAAAGTGAGAACAACGACATTCCCACCCCCTCCCTTTTCAGCCCCACTTATTTTCAAAGGGAAGTCATATGCTTAATATCCAAGAAGGTCCTGTATTCCACCTTGCCCCAAATCATTCAAGAACATACTCATGTAATGACCTCATGAGGAGCTCCATCTTATACACAGAAATATGGAAATGCTAAGGAAATCCCTCTACTCCATTCAATTGGAGCACTCACTTCAAAGCCGTAGCATTAGGCCAGAACCTTAGAGAAGTTACCCACTTTGTGTTCTGTTGTGATGAACACCATGTTCAAAAGCAACACAGGAAAGATATGGTTTATTTCATCTTATGGTTTATAGTTCATCACTGAGGGAAGTCGAGGCAGGAACTAAAGCAGAGACCATGAGGCAACACAGCTTACTACCATGCCTCTTACAATTAGCTTAGCTACCTTTATATGTCTCAGGCTTACTTGCCTAGGAATGACTCTGCCCATACAGGGCACATCAATCAGAAATCAAGAAAATTCCCTACAGACATGATGACAGGTAAATCTGATGGAAGCAGTTGCTCAATAGAAATTCCTTCATCCTAGGTGTATGACAATTTGACAAGACATATCAGCACACGAAGCACTTTTTAGTAATCTAATTTTTAATGATTATGTGCATGTTTATGGAGGCTTTAGGCCAACCTTGGAGTCATCCTTAGGAACACTGTCTATCTCCTTTGAAGCAGGGCATCTCACTGGCTTAAAGTTCATAAGTTAGGCTAGGCAAGCTGGCTGATAGGCCCCAGGGATACGCAATTCTGTGTGTCCACAGTGCTGAAATTACAAGTGTGTCCAGCATCTTCAAGTGGTCCTGGAGAGCAAACTCAGGTACTCATGCTGATGTGACAAGCGCTTTATCCCCCTGATGCCAGCCCCCAAAGCACTGCTTTTATGGGTTAATCAGGCAAAGAAAAAGGGCACCATGGGAAAGAAAACAGAGAGGAAGCCCATGGAATCAAAGAATGCTGCTGTGAAGATGTAGGAAGTAGGCAACACAGAAAAGCAAATGTGACCAGTGCTGCACAGAAGGAACAGGTGAGAAGGAGGAGCTTCAAAGGGAGAAGTAGGAGGGAGCCTACAGTTACATGCAATGGACTTTCTCGGCAAGGAAGAGGGAACTAAGACAAACTGCAAGCGTGGCTTGTGACAACAGCAGCTCAGAGATGGACCAAAGGTTTTTCATAGCAGCTGGAGATTGTAATTCAAAAGTCAAAATAGATCTACATTATGTTCATTTAAATCTGCAAGGAATGCATGGGGGAAAAGGAGAAGCCATAGGCATGTGGTCATTTTGAGAACCATTTCTCACAGAGCATTAGATAGCTGCCTTCTGGACACCTGCTCTTCCTTTCCTTGGGCTTTTCCCTGTACCACTGCTCACAGTGTGGGAACCACCAAGGGACTCTTGCCTATTTGTACCTGAAATGAACAAAGCATTATCAACCCTTCCTCTCCTGGGAGCCCTTGACTGAGAAGAGTATGTGACAAAAGGAAGGGGTAGTTCTAAACAGTCTATGGATATACATCAATTTCGCATATAGGAAACTGAATCTTAGGTATGGGGTGGGAGTTAGGTCATCATAGCCTAAATCTTGAATCTAGTTTTGTTTGAATGCTCTACCTTTGCATTATTGCACTTGCTACATAATCACTAAGGCTTTTACAGCAACATATCATTGGAAATAAACATCTATACATAACCACACATAAACACTTCCATCCCTTCTAGAGATGTGGTCCAATGAAACTTTAGTGGGAGGAGACAGAGTTCTTTCTCTCATCACCATCTAACGAGTAGTTTCTTTGTGGTACACTAATAAGTGCAGAGTTCATTTGCCACTATTGGTATCCTCGGAAAGTCCAACACCAGTGTTATAAGCATTTATAGCCATGCTTGGCTTTTCAAGTGGTTCCTGAAGGGCACTCAAAGGGCAAATGCATAGATAGGTGATTCTTTTCACATGCTGGCCAGTCATCTCCTAGGTGATTCCACTAACATGTAGGTTGATCATCTCTTAGTGCTCTACCATCTTTCACAGAGCAGTCACTGAATCAGCATCCACCATTTGGATTTTATTGCTAAAATTGGTTAAGTCTGCCAGAGTAGACTTTGGTCAACACCCTCATCATGTTTGTGTTGTTTACAACCAGGACTAATGACTTGCTCATGTGTTGGATCCAGATTGCTTTAATAAGTCAATACATAGCCAAGAATAATGCAAAATTACACAAAATTACATTAATGTGACAATAGCCCATGAGGAGTAAATCATGAAATTATCTGTTGATGTAAGTTCCTGTTCATTAAATGAATTTTGGGGCAATCCCTGAGGCTCCCCAAGTTTTCCTGTATCAGATTCAGCAAAGTATTCATTTTGAAAACTAGCAAATGTACTGGCTTCCATCCTGGCTTTAAATATATTCTATTGTCAATTAATTGTGCATGGCATTCATTTACAAGTAAGCTTTAAACCTCTGACTGTAGAAAATTGGCTTTCGAAAATCTCAATAACTATGGTTCAGAAGGTTACAGAGTCAGAATATGACTGATGATGCCAAAGATGGCTGTTATAATTATGCAGATAGCTGAACATAGAAGACCACAAAGATGGGGATGGAATAATAACCATGGAAAGCAGGAAGACAGATTTCTTTCCGTGGGACTACAACCTACTACTTTGATTGACAACGCTTAAGAATTAGGCTGTTCTGTCCACTTTTGAAGCAATAGTGTTTTTCTGGATTTAACCAAAGTGACTCCAGTAACTGTGGGGAAGTAGAAACTCTGAACTTTCAGAATTATAATCTGATAGGATTCATTTCCTTAAAACTGCTGAAAAAAACTTTGCTACTTTCTAATTATTTTGAGAATGCACATTTCTCTTATCGCCACAAAGAAACAAAACATCAAGTCAGATGTTCTTTTTTTGACAATTTAAGTGGATGATAAATGAGTCCCTAGTCATCTGATTTAGATAGAATTGAACCTGCTCACAGTCTTGAAATAACTGGACTTAATTAACTAATTTAACTCTTGAATTTGTCTGAATTTAGATACTAGACCCTTAGGGATCATCACAATATTCCCATTTTAATTTCAAAGTTTGCTAGCCTACTTTATTTGAAGACAAAAAAAAAAAACAAAAAAACAAAAACAAGCACTTTGGCAGAATTGAGACTGAAAGCCTTTTCTATAGGTATAAGGTAAATATAGCCCTCAAACTCAGAGATTAGGTAAAGCCTATCCACATTACATTTTTGTTGATGCTCATACAGAAGTCATCCATTCCCTGATCTGTCCATCATCTCATTTCCCATTAGTCCATTCACAGTAGGGGAAGACAAAGCAATTTACAACATTAAATGATTCTTTGTGAGTGTGAGTGTGTGTGTGTGTCCTTGTATGCACATGCATTTGGAAGCAAGAGGTCAACTTTGGGTGCTATTCCTCAGGTGTCATCCACTTTGTATTTTTGACACAGGGTCTGTCATTGGGACCTGGGGATCATTGAGTTCTCAGGATCATCCTGTCTCCACCTTTCTAGCTCTAGAATTAAAAGTGAATCCCACCACACAGGCTTTTCATGTGGGTGCCAAGGATAGAACTCAGGTCATTAGGCTTATACAGAAGTCACTTTATCAAGTGAGCTATCCCTGAGCCCTAAAATGGTTCTTTCAATAAAATAGCCTCATAGAAGAGAGCACAAAACAGCAGCAGGTGAAATGAGTTGGGAGAGTGTTGGTCATTATTTTCAATTTGTAAATGAAATACATAGGCCTATGTCCCAAAGTATAGTCCATTAAGTAAATGGCATGGCTGGAATGCAAACTTGCCATCCCCTTTTAAAAAAATTAAATGCCATATGATATTAGTAGGAACAAACAGAACAAATATTTACCAAAATTTTTTCTAGTTTGTTTGCTGTTGCTGTAAGCAACTTTACTATTGCCACAAGCAACTTGGGGAAGAAAAGGCTTGCTTGATATAAAGTTACAACCCATAGTTATGGAAATTAAAGTTGATGTAGCAACAGGAGGCAGGAATTGACTCAGAGGTCATAGAGGAGCCCTGCTGACTGGTTTGCCCAGCTACATTTCTTATTCAGCCCAAGACTGCATGCCTAAGGGCGACACTACCCACAATAGGCTTTGTGTCTTTATGGAGATAAGAGAAATGTGTGTCCTCAAAAGAATTAGAAAACAGAACATAGTCCCCTGCACCCCCCCTCAAAGTTTTAAGGAAATGAATCCTGTCAGATTGTCATCTTGAAAGTCCAGAGTTTCTACTTCACTGTAGTTCCTGGAGTCACTATGGGTAAATCCAGAAAGAGACTATTATTTCAAAAGAGGATATCAACTAGAAAATGTATAAATTTAACACAACATGAGAAAAAATTTAATAACTTATGAGGTAGCATAGGACCTTATAAAATCGAAGTGTAGACTAAGCTTGTTGGCTGCAGCAGGCAATTAAATGTTGCTTCAATTTATTTCATTTACTTTTAAAAAAATG